GCCAACTTTTTTTTCCAGCTATTTCCTCGAAGAACTCTAGTGCCTCCATGCTGACCTTGCTCCAGCCCTGACTCCGGCTACGGTACAGTTTGGCTTGTCTACAGACCCTGACCACCTGGCTTCAACCTCCACTCCGACTGTTTGTTATTTTGTGTACTTTTTTCGTGTCCCCTCTCTAACATAAACAATCCCAGTCTTTTCCGTCTCTCTTCAGAGGAGAGTTTTGCCATTCCCTAATCATTCTCATTACCCTTCTCTGAAGGCCCTGTAATTATACATTGTCCTCTTTTGAGGTGGGATGGACAACACTGAACACAGTATTCCAGATGAGGGAACTGATTTATATAACAGCCATGTTTTCCTTATCCCTCTTCATCCCATTCCTTCCGTATCCGAACATCCTGTCTGCTTTTTTCACCACAGCTGTATATTGGGCAAAGGGTTTTATTCAGCTGTTTATAATGAAGCTCAGGTCACTTTCCTGAGTTGATACCATTAATTTAGAGTCTTGTAAGGTTTATGAGTATTATTCATCAACACTGAATTTCATCTGCCATTCTGTTGCCCATTCACTTAGCTTGGATAGATCTGTCTGAAGTATCTCACAGTTTTCCAGGGCTTGACTAACCTGAATAACTTTGTGTCATCTGCATATATATTTCTGTCCACAATGTGCAATTGCTGCTGGAATAGTGTGTCCAGTCCCGGGGTCCCCAATTCAAGAAGAATGTTGATAAATTGAAGAGAGGGTCAGAGAAGAGTCATGAGAATGACAAAAGGTTGAGAAAATCTGCCCTAGCTTGAACTTCTTGAGTCTCTCATTATATTTCATTTAACAAATAGAAGGTTCAGAGGTGACTTGATTACATCTGAAAGTATCTACATGGGGAACAAATCATTAATACTGGGCTCTTCAATCTAGCAGAGAACGGGATAACAGGAGCCAATTGCTGGAAGCTGAAGCTAGATACATGCAGACTGGATATAAGGCATAAATTCTGAACAGTTAGAGTAAGTAACAATTTAGCAAGGGTCACTGTGGATTCTCCATCACTGACCATTTTTAAAGCAAGAGCTGATGATTCTCTAAAAATATGCTCTAGGAATTATTTGGGGAAGTTTTGTGGCCTGTGTAACACGGGAGGTCAGACTAGATGATCACAATGGTTCCTTCTGGCCTTGGAATAAATGAATATACAAGGCTGATGAAAAATCATTTAGTTTTTCAACAATGTCCTTCTCAATTTTAACTGCTCTATTTACCCCCCTGGTAAGTCAGCAGACCCACTGATTCTTTAGTGGGCTTCCTGCTTCTTCTAGATAGGGTGACCAGATGTCCTGATTTTATAGGGACAGTATCGATATTTGGGGCTTTGTCTTATATAAGCACCAATTACTCCCCACCCCCTGTCCTGATTTTTCACACTTGCTATCTGGTCACCCTACTTCTAGAGAATTTTTCAGTGTGTTTATACCTTCAACTATTGTACAAAATCCATCCTAGCCCTCCTCCTTTCCCTCTTACATATTGACTGCTGTAGTGTATGTTCTTGTTAATTGGCTTGGCTGGGGCTGGATTTCCAAATCCCAAAGAATTTCTCTCTGGCTCAGATAACCTCTAGAAGACTTGAACGTTGCCGTTTACTCTTCTCTTCCTGCTCAGCAGATTGCATAAGATTACTACTGTTTCCTTAGGTGGACAAATCTAAGGGTGTTGCTTCCTTTGCTGTTGGCATTAGGGCTTTTCTGAAGAGCTTCCTTATTGTATTGAAATCCCCTTTTCTATATTTAGTGTCACTGTGATAGTTTTTTGTACCTTATTTCCCTTCGCTATTAAGCACAATTATGTTGTGGTCATTATTACTTGCTGGCTTATTGGAGGAAGACATGAGTTGGGGCCTTTCAATTCATTATATGCTGAAGTAATTTGAATCAAAACTGTATGCAGAGTCTGTACATCCCCCAAGAGTTACTGAGCGATTTTTAGTCATAACCATTTCTACAGAGCTTTTAATCCTAGCAGGAGTCCATGCATTTTTTCAGTGCATAAACACTTATGCACATAAATCTTTACAGCTGAGGTC